TTCCAAGGTAGGAAGCCAATCTGATTGTTGAAGCCAATGTCTCAAAGAAAAACTACCATGATACTGCCATAAAATAAAAAGGAAGAAATAAACTTTCAACTCCCTAAACTCACAAATGGAAAAATTGAAATATGAGAAGAACTGCTTCCACGCACAACATGCAGAGAAATGAAGGCTCGTCCAATAAACAGAAAATCTGAACTGCTTCCACACGCAACATGCAGAGAAATGAAGGCTTGTCCAATAAAAACAGAAAATCTCCAACATGGGTGTCCTAGAAAGACTAACCTACCTAGCATAAATAACTAAATGGCTTCACACAACGAAACATTTAATGCATACGCAATATAAAAATCTTACACAGAAACAGAACATACCCCATGTACCAGAGTAAACGAACCACGGCCGCTAGAAGGTGAAGAAATATAACCATAAACTTGCATCGAATAAGAATGGTACATAAGTTTACGGCGAACCAGCTTCTTCAATACCTAAAAACACTTTAACAACACCAAGGTTACACCAATATTCAAAACCTCAAATGCAAAATAAACAAAACTCCAAAACAAAGCCCCAAACCTCTATTGCTCGCATTCCTCTACGTTTTGCTTGAGTACTGACAAGTTTCCTAAGCACAACTTTAATGTTATGCAAAGGGCTGCAATTCCACATTATACTCATTACATCCAATAATCACACAATATCAAAAAATCAAATAAGGAAAGAAAGCTAACCTATTAGAATCCTTCACTATTGCTTCGAAAACCACCTCATCCGCCTAAAACAAACCCCAATTCAGTTGTCCATGCAATAATTATCAGTGCTAAGAACAATCACTTTTGGAAATTAAACACTATCCTTAGTGTTAATCACAACGAAATTAACAATATCTAACAAATAAAGATTAAAAAAAAATTGAAGTAGAGTTTTCTGGCTTACCCGGCCACCAAGGCCAATACTGACACGATCAAGCACCTTAAAATCAGACATCTTGAACCTCATAACATCTCCTCCTCCTCCTCCCTCCTCCTCAATCACACATGTCCTCCCATCTCCTTCCGATTCCAACGGAGCCACGGCCTTACTCGACGACGAACACCTCACCACCGTCCCCACTTCTCTCCTAGAACAAATACTTCTCACACCGATGATACTACCATTAACACGTCGTTTAATCAGTTTCTTCGTCGACAAAATATCAGAAACAGAACAGAACCCGACTCCATATATTGCCGCCGTCGCCGCCATCAATCGATCAATCCGTTACAACTCTCAGAATTTGTTTGATCCAGAGAGGAGTTAGTTAGCAGAAGGAAGGAGAGGAAAGTGTGAAGAAATAGGGAAGAGAGTGTGAGAATTGCGTGAAGGAATACAGAGCCCTGGGCTTGGCTCGTGTCAATGTCTGTTTTTCGAAATATCTCCGGCATTTACCTCCTGTTATTTTCTGTGTTTTGCGTTCCGTGCACACTCCTATCTCCGCCACGTCACTTTTCGTTGGTGTCCACGTTTTTGTTTTGGAGCTCAAAAATAATTATATTATAGCTATTACTGTGTCGCGCCTGGTGGTTAAGCACGGCTTTTTTTTACATGTTAATTTTAAAAATTTATAATTAATTTGGATTGTGTTTTAAGTTGAATTAAAAAAATATTAAATTAATAAAATTAATTATTCAGTCGGATTGATGACCAGCTCAAATAATATCTTTCAAATTTAATATGAAAGTTTTCTTGCTCTTGATTAGTTATAATTAGTTAATGACATATAAAATTTGATTTATAGAATCTCTTAACTGTTGAAAAAAAAATTAATTAATATAGTTTAAATAAATTGTGTGTAAATAAAAAATTAATTTTAAAGAAATCTTAATTTATTTTTTTTAAATTTAATTCTTGATTTATAGGAAAGTTGGTAGTGATAATAATTAATTTTTCAACCTTTTTATTTTTAAAATTTAGGAATTAATTTTTCAACTTAAATTTTTTATATTTTTAAATGCTATTTATAATCTTATATTTTTTTCTCATTTTAAATTTTAATTTTCTTTCCAAATCTAAAGGTTGTGTTCTTCTTATTGAGAAATGTTTGAATTTTATATTTTTTTTTAAAAATCTTATTTAGAAATGTATTTAAATCTAGATAGTATTATTAGAATTTTAAGAGATATATTACAGATATTATAATTATACAAGTGAAAAACAATAAAGATTTAAGGATAACAAATTCTTAATTGACAATAACAAAAATTTTATTATTTTAAAATGCTTCAACAAACAAAAAACTTTTTTAGTTTTAATTTAAGTATATATATTTGAATTATCAATATCATGCTAGGAAATTGAATTAATAATACCTGTAAGTTTAGATACATGTTTAGTATGGATATTAATATTTTATTATCATATTTATGTTGAAAGCATATTTATTTTAAATTATTATTTCGCATTTAAATTTGTATAAATTATAGATTTTTCTTGAAAATTTTTTATATTTGACATGTCTTATTATAATAAATTCAATATCGTTGTTTGCTAGTTTATTATATTTATGAACTTTAAATTTATATTAATTAAATTTAAATGAGATTCAATAGTTAAATAGAAAGTTATGAATTTTTTCATTAAATTGATCATTTAATGTGATTGGATTTCTATTTAAGCTTAACTCCATCTGGATTGTCCGTAAAAAAATCTAATAGGCTTTTCATGTGATTCAATTATAACAAATTCACGACTTAGCATGGTCAGGCCTCCTTTTAAGCTTAGTTTTGTCCTAATAATTCATAAATAAAATTATTAGATTTTTTATGTAATTCACTTATAATTAACTGTTCAAAACCATCTAAATCTTCAAACCATTCTGAAAAAAAAAAAGCATACAAAATTATTTAAATAACATCTAATGCAAACTAACTAATAAAATGTTAAATTTAATAAAACTTTCAAATCAATTAGGAAATCAATTCGAGATTAACAATGAAAAAAAAATGAACACCAACTTTTGAACCTAAATGCATGAAAATGACCTCAACTAGTTACAAAATGATCTACTAGACATTTAGGTTTATAAAATATGTTAGTAAAGTTTCAATATGATTTAACAATAAGATTAAAGATTAAAAATTATGTATATTTATATTAGAAAACTTGTTTAACCCATTCAAACCCTTTTTAGATTTGAACTTATTGATTTAGTCCGTGAATGATTTGTTAGGCATTCTAAGTGTCTAAACAAGTTCAAGAAGAAGTCTTTCTAGCATTGAACATGGTAACTTAACAAGTTCATGCAATTTTAAAGATTATTTCATTTCAACTTTACAAGAACAAAAGAAATTAGTGAATAATTTGGCAGATCCGTTTTGGCATCTTGTTGAGGATTTAAATGATGGCATTATGATGTGTGATTATAGGCATCAATTTACTATGGCTATCTCCATTACAACGATCAAAATCGCATCTATCAAAGGAGAAAGGGCATGGTGTTGCAACTTGTACAAGAAGGTCAAGAACAAGCTTTTCTAGCTTTGAACTTGGCAACAAAAGACACAATTGGACAACTTATTGGTATTCATAATGTTCAGAAAGTACTTTTCTCTTTTATGAACAAGAGCATGTGAAATACTTTGTTTGCAAAGGGTTACAAACAAGTTTGAGCTATTGATATTAACGAGGGATTGCAATTAATATCCTTTTATTACGTTTCTATTATATTTATATAACGAGGGATTGCAATGAATATCCAATTATCATGTTTGTAATATATTTATATTTTATCAAATATTTATGATGTAAGAAGTTTAAAAAATTAGACCTTATTTATTAAATTTTAAATATTCATACTATAGTAAAAAAAACTGTATCGATCAAGGTTGATGATGTAAATTAATCTGAATTAAAAAAATAAAAGAGAAAAACTAAGATGACCTAATAACAAACATGGATTAACTTGTTACCTGTATAAGATTAGGATAAAATATTTATTGATTTTCTATAAAAAAAAGCTAGTTAAAATGATATTATTATTATTATTTTAAGATTAAACTGAATTAATTATCCAGCGTATGTTCAGAGCCTTGGTCAGGTTTTCAATTATGATTCCCGCGTGTATTTATTATTCAAGTCCTATCTATTATTCAACTTCGTCAATAGTGGCTAGATGTCATGGATTTCTTCAATCGTGGTGGTTGGCTACTTGGGGAGGAGTAGATGGGTGGCTAGGGTTTTGGGTAAAATATGTTAAGGGCATGTTTAGCTAGGAAAATCAATATTAAATTTCATGGTGTCTGTGCATCACACCTAATTTTAGGTTTTTGGATCCCAATAACAAAAACCAGGATTCCTATCACAGTTTTGTCAGAAATACATTGAGGGAAATCAAAGAGGCTTAGGCTTAGCCTCAATACCACAATGAACAAAGGACGGAGAGCTAAGAAATAGGATTGTTAGGTTATTGTTCTATTTAAAAAAATAAAAAGAAATAAAAATTTTAACTTTAAAATAATATTTTTTGATTTTTTTATTATTTTGATGTGTCAATATTAAAAATAAAAAATATATTATTTTAATATATTTTTAAATAAAAATATTTTAAAAACAATTATTTATTATATATAATTGATATAAAAATAATTTCAAACTCGGGTTTAACAGAACTAGGTACACTAATAAGTTTTCATGTGGATATGCTGGCTATATATATATATAAAACCATTAGGAGAGTATAGGTGATCTTTGAGATATTCTCAACTTGTCTTTGATTTTTTTATCTAGACATTGCACATAGAAAATGTTGTTAATTATGACTGTATTTATTATCATGATAGCTTTTATAATTAATATTTAAAAAGAATTAAGTTTTGAAAAATTATTTTTTATTGTGGTTGGTGTGGTTCAAATATATATTTGATTTAAAGTATGGTTCAACTTCATGTTCATGAAAAAGCATGTCAAAAAATATTTGGTTAAAAATTATAGTTCAATTTAATATTGATAATAAAATTATCTAAAAAGACATGAATATAATCTTAATTTTTAATTATATAAAAATTAATTTTACAATCAATATTATGTTGTAAAGAGACCTAAACATAATAGAACTTATTTTGAAGTTATTGGTTGTAGTAATGAGGGTTGTTCTTCTTTTTTTTCTGCAGTTATAGAGAAATTATTGACACATGAATGAAAAGAAAAGGATGTTGCAATGATCATTCTTGTGGATTGTGCAATGATAATGGTAAAATGAATGAGAAGTGAATGCGAAATTGTTGTTGCAATTATGTAAAATGAATGAGAGAAATTAATGTGAAATCAATGAGAGAAAAAAAAAAAAAAAGAGGATACAAAGGTAATTTTAAATGTTTTTGGGCAGTCCCAGAAGATGAAATTGTGGTCCAACATGCAAAAAATAGGAAAAATTGCTTTTTCAAAACGAAGGTCCAAGCTCAAGCAAGTGGAGTCTATTATGTTTATATACTTTTAAAACTTGTAATCAAACACTTAATAAATTGTGTTTAAAAAAAATACAAACACTACCTCAAATACAAATACTCTCTAGTAACCTCATGGTTATGCATATCAAGTAACTAAGACGCTGAGAGTGGGAGGTAAAGCTAAAATATACTTGTTCACCTAGGAAAATAAAATTAACTTATAAAGAGGGGGAATTCATGGTTGGGGTTTCATGCAAAACCTCTCTGTTGTTTTTTTTCTTCAGCAATGCAATATTGCAAAAGCAAGTGGAGTCCTGTTTTTGTTTTGGATATCTACTTTGGATACTATGTTACTGGATTGTATTAATAATTTCCACGGGCTGGTTCATTAATGTATGGTGGAATTTTGGAGAACTAGACGAGTTTGCTTTGAGATGGTGGCAAGATGTGGCTCAAATGTTTGGTGAAAGGTACCAAAAATAGCTGCCAGATCCACCATTATTATTATCACTATAACAATTCCGAAAAAAAAAAATATATATATATATATATAACGATTCCGAAAACCCTAAGCCCCTAACAAAACCCAAAAAAAAAAAAATATATATATATATATAACGATTCCGAAAACCCTAAGAAATGTAACTTTATTAGTTAGGTCTTGAATTTATTTTCTAGAAGTTACTAATTTAAATATTACAAATCTCAAAGCTATTAAAAGGTTATTTGATTATTAATTTTAGAGCTCCAGAATATTAATTAAGCTATTAATTAAGATTGAAAGGTTATTTGATTATTAACTTTAGAGCTCCAGAATATTAATTAAAATGGATGTAAACTAGACCGAATATCTAAAATTACTATAAAAAAAATTAGTTATGAGAGAACTCAAAAAGGTCGCATGGATAGTGCATGAGCTCACAAGCTTTCGAGAAAAGGAAGGAAACTCTTGCAAGTATATGCGATGAGAGGGCTAAAATACTATATGATTAATGTAATGTGATGGTTTGATGGATGCAAATAGATTGTTTGACAAAATGCTAGAAAGGAATTTGTATTACTAAACGAGTTTTGAAGAACTATGGATAGTATTATTATAATTATGAAGATGATTTTGTTATTTTGAAGCTCGTTATTAAAATGAATATAATAACAAACCTTTAAATATTCGAATATTTTTCTGATTTTTTTTAACACATGAGTACTACAAGAAAATAAAAACACACGATCAATTATTTCATTAATATATATATTCTTTGATTAGCATCAAGTTCAGGTTAAATTGTTTTTCCAAATATCATCAAATGACTTTTCCGTTCGAGTGTAAAATTGATCTTTAAAATCCAGTTATCTATCCATGCCTGACTGGATAATACTAAAGGTCATTCAGCTTAGATACAGCTTTGTTGCTTAATGCCCTGCAACTCAAGGTTGTTGCTGCAAGTAATGATGTAACTCGCGAACTTTTTTTAATACAAGCTGCTGCTTAATTCAATAAGCTAGTAATTACTGGATAGCAAAATTTAATACCTTGATCCCAGTCAGCTGATTTGCCGCTTCTAGCTTCAGGTGGCAAGTTGTGCTCTTGTCATCATCGATGACACATAAAACACAAACTTCTGGCATCTGAAAGAGAGATGAAGCAGTGAATAATGAAGGTGCGCCTCATTTTACAAAAATTCAGCTTTATCCATTATATTGGATTTCATTTAATCCGTTTTACAAGTGAAACTTGTGGACTAGATGCTAGCAAATAAATACATCAAAGTTACATAGCCATGCCTAAGTTGTCAAAATGTTTGAGAACAGCAAATGATCTCCAGCATTGGGTTGGGCAGGTCACTCTTACCACAAAAATTCAAAATCATAAGGATGCTTTTCTGGCAGTATATTGTACTTCAAATCAGTCCCTGGCGCTGCAGATCAGTATATGTCTTTTTATTGTAAATGTTGCCCTCTTTATCTTCATATTCTTCCTCGAGATCTGGGCGCCACTTGTTCACTCCTTGCCGTGCTTGTATCCTCTTCCACAATTCTTGTGCTTCCTGAAAAAAAAAAAAAAGTGAATGAATGAATGCAGGTGTCACATTCGAAACTAACATACGAGATCTGAAACTAAGAATTTCACATTAAAAAAATCAGAGTTTGAGTGGCATAAACAAAATAAAAGGCATATAACAAAGAAAGGATCGGATTTCAGAACAAGATCTGAGAAAGTGCACCTCAATCGATGTGATCTCATTGAAGTTCTTGGTGTTTGGGATGCCAAGGCAACGCATTCCATGCTGATGACGCCATTCCTTGAAATGCCGCTCAAATGCTCTACGACCCCAGTAACTATAGTTCCCACATATCTCGCACTTAAATTCCTGACATGCAGAAAATAATTGAGATCCTCTAGCCATAGAAACTATCAATTAGTATAACTCAACAAGGATTACAGACAAAGATCCTCCACTAAAAAACTAGTATAATTAGACAAGTATTACATGCATCATAATGATATATAATGATACTAGGTGTTACTTATTGCAACTTAAAATAAAAACTTTCACACATATCAATTAAATACATCTGGGAAAAAAAATATACAGCAGAAAAAACTACTGTCCAAATGTAGAAAGAACAAACTCCAAAACCAAAATGCTGATGGAAATGAAAGATACCAGTGAAGAGATATAATACTTACAATGACTGTAATAGATTTATACAAATAGGAGGAGAATACCTGACCAAGACCATGAAGTTTATACAGCCAATAAGGTATAGGCTTCCCATCCCAACCCATTGGCAACTTGAGGGGATTGTAAATCTGTTGTTCTTCATCATCACTTTCAGTGTCAGCCTGTGTCTCTTCCTGCATCAGTTTCAACATCACATTATCGATTATTGTCATCAAGCACAGACATTAAAGTCTCACTTTTTCCACAATAATAATCAAGCATCCAATTAAAACAGATGGAAAGAAAAGTTTCAAGAAAATGGTCTTGCTGTTTGTATTACAGATGGTCTCTAGATGCACAATTGTCAATATGCCATTAGCATACCCGGCCAGTATATGTGAGGAAATATATTCTGCTTGTACTAGGTTGGGTTGTAAAGGGGTTTGATCCCATTATATCACCACGGTGCAAATGGCTTGCTTCAAATTAGAGCAGGTACCAAAAGAACATTGAAGGTCATAATGAAATGCTATGCAAAAAGCTATGATTCGCACTCTAGTTAAAAGGCTAAAGCACCGAAGAATTTGCGATAGCTTAAGAGCCTGTTTGGCATTGTGATAGTGATTATTTTTCAAATTGCTTTTCACTTAGAAATGCATTGAAATAATGTTTTAAGAAAAAAAAATTAATTTTGAAAAAAATTAATTAGAAGCAAAAACAAAATTCATATTTTTGCAAGGACGCTTTCCAACTGCAAAAACAAATGGAGCATAAGACAACATACCTCCTCACGTTCTGCTTCCATTTCATCATATGTCAAAGCCTGCTTCTTCACAACATTTTCTTTTGTTCGTACAATTGTCTGCACAGGGTCAAAGAAAAATCAAATATCCAACAACAAAAAAAAAAATTATTTAAGGCACATGCAGCCTATATTCAAATCCACATTACTGAAAACATACAAAAAAGCTGGCAGATAACCAAAGAACAAAATCTCAATGCGATATTGATCAAGAGGATGGAAAAGAAACTGGAATGACTGTGCACCAAAGCTCACCTCATCCAGTAAATCACACAATTTATTCATTTTGGTCTCCATCAGGGCAATTTCTTTTGAATTGACAACAACTTTTGAGTTCATAGCACCTCCATTCAGTTCTGATGCATGTGAACCTTTCACAAAATGTTTCTTGTCCAACTTTTCAAGAGGTGTATGCTGCACAGAATGAACAAATAAGTAAAACAGAAAATGCCATGTTAAATGTATCAAGGAAAAAAAAGAAGAAGTAATGTTGAGAAATAATTTAATTTAAGGAAATAAGACTGTTTATGTAGCTTGAGGTTAGATGCTTAACAACAAACACGCAAACAAACAAATGTATATAACACCCCCCCACCCCACCCCCCCAAGAAACATAATAAATAAACAAAGTGCACACCCGCCATCCTAATTTTCACAGTAATATAACCCCTCCCTTACCAGAAGATTAATGATTAGCTAAGAAACTAGAAACAATGCGGACACTCACTGGATCTTTTCCTTTCCTCAACTTACAAAACCCATACAAGGTAAAAGAACTATTCCAACCTTCGTGAGAAAAAGCCTTTCAGCACGCTGCTGAATGGTACCGCCACTCTTGAGCCCCAATGCAGCCAGTGCCTGCCAGGGAAACATGCATCAAACAATTTAATAACTGGTAATTATAAAGGACAGCTAAACCAACAAGACAGAATTCTGCTAGCAAAACTGTCACAAACCATGAAATGATGATGGAGAAATAAAATAAAAACCATGAAATGATGATGGAGAAATAAAATAATAACAGTTGCCCAAGTTATAGCATAGTTTGTATATTACAAACTTCAATGACTCCATGGCTACCCACTGGATATTTTTAATATTTTCCAGTGTTGATCACACTGTCTGATATCAGAACATTTCTTATTAAACTAATGAAGCAAACAGTGACAAAGAAATGTGACTCCACAGCAATGCTATGGATATAATTAATATTTTCCAGTGTTTGATCACATTGCATGATATCAGAGTAGTTTAACATTGATCGCATTGTATGATATTGGAGTATTTCAAGTTAAACTACCTAGCAATCAACAACAAAGAACAGAAATGTTAAACTACCAAGAAATCAACAGCAAAGAACAGAATCCAATTTTGCACTTTAAACTCGACACTATAAGGAGAATGATGACAGCAGCAACAAGTCAGCATCAGCTTACACTTGGTGATAACAAAATACATAAGTACATCCTTGTTTCTTTGACATTAACATAAACTATCAGCATTCAGCAAGAGAATGCTCTATGATTATAGATTTCCAGGAAAAAAAGAAAATGATTCATGGAAATATAAAGCAGCTGCAAACAATGATATTCTTACCTCCTTCAATTTTTCAGGGCCCACTTCTTTAAGCTCCTCAACAGTGCTGTAAAAATCAAGATCAATAACAGTATGATCAGCTGGCACATGCCCATTTTCTTGAGCATTCTTTTCCCATCCTTGTACCATGCCATTTTCCCATTGCTCTTCAAATTCAGCAGTAACCTACAACAATAATCTACATTGTTAAATGAAGCACATGATTGGCTCCGACCAAACATGGTCAAAATCTCCTCTGCTCTATAGACTTGAGTTTTTGCAAATAAAAAGAGGCAGGCAGTAAAAATGCCATAATATCATTTCTTGTGAGCAAATGTCTTGCACGTCTTGTGGCAGAGAATGTATTTAAAATAAAATGAAAACAGGGTTTTCTTTCTGTTTTGTCCTTAACATTATAAGGTATAAATTGCGGCTGAGCCAAGTCTAGCATCGTAAAGTTCAAATGTAGCACATTTTTAGCCCCATAGGTCTATATAGTACTAATGAAAACTTCGCACTTCAAATCTTTAGGTAAAAAAAAAAAATGATTAGAGATAATTTTAGCATCATTTGGAATTTAGATAGAAAACAAAAATTACTGCTCAACACTAGCATTAGCATCACATAAATCAAGCAAGCACATATAATAGAACATCACAAACACCATGAGGAGATGAATTAAAAAAAAAATGGCAGGGAAAATATAAAACAAACCTTTGACAAAATCCTATCAAGATCTTGCAAGGGCTCTGTACGCTGGAAAAAATAAACTAAATATTCAAGTAAATTCTCCATGTATTCCCTGTATTGCCTGCAGAAAATTGAAAAACAAATTGAAACAAAAAATACATTAACTTGGATAAATAATTTCAAGTGAGGTACAGATGCAGGTGAATATAACATCTGATCATTAACTTAAAATACATTAAAAAAAAATATTCAGGAGGGCGGGGGGCGAGAAAGAGAGAATACCTTGTAAACTTCACTTTACGGGGTATATTATGTGGTTGGGAGAAAATGTCAAGGTAAGTAGAGTATTCAATAGGCTTCTCGAATTTTAAATTATTGAACTGGTTATACAATTCATGCATGTCTAAGTATTTCCCAAATGCTTCCTGTAATATAAATCCAGCTAAAGTATTAGTTAATTTAAATTGCTGGGCAAAAACATAAAGCATAATTAGGTAAAGTCATGGTAGAAAAAAAGAAAATACTTGTTCTCCACTGCATAAACAATGCATCAATTACGATAATAAATGTTGTGCAGTCACTATTTCACTTTTATATGAGGGGAAAAAACTAGAAACTACTACAGCCCTAAATCATCTGTTAACTAGCAATAAAATTTGGATATGAGTTTATAAAACTAAAGTCCTAAAATATCAAACTGAAAGGCAGCAAATCTCACAGTAAATGAATTTGAAACTGCCAACAGAATCTCAAATCTCAAGATTTTGAAATGTAACGCCTAATTTAGAGCTCCCATATACATTATAATGACAACACCATCTAACTGAGTAGGTACACTTATAGAGTAAAAAAAGTATATAAAACTATTCATACATGAAACTACAGCATCCCAGATCAGTTTCCTCAAATGCTATAAACTACAGCATCCCAGTTGCCTGGCACAAACACCTCAAATATCCATACATGAAACTAGAGCCCTAACATATCAACAACTGCACTAAGGTAAAATAACCATTAAGTGACACAAGTTAGAGAGACTGACCTCACCAGTAAACTCAATAACTGGTTCCTCTTTAAGCATTCCCTCATAATCCTCATTAGCATCAACTACGACACGGGCCGCTGGATGCCTTCTATGATACTCTCGAATCTTCAAAGGCAAAAAAAAAAAAAAACAAAAGATAAATAATGATAATGATAAGATAAAATACAAGTAATTTCAATAAATGACAAGCAACCGTTAATTATCAGATAAATTGCTTAATCAAAATTAATGAAAAAACAAATTACCTCTTTTAATCTATCATAAAAAGCACTAAACACATTGGTTCCAGTCGCCGTTTGTCCACCAAGCGCCGCAATCTCATCTTTCCTCGCATTATCTTTATCTTCATAAATCTCAAGCCGCAATCTCATCTTTCCTCGCATTATCTTTATCTTCATAAATCTCAACCTAAAAAAAAAATCAAAATCAAACACTTATTATAATTGCCTTCCATTAAACTTAATTAATGAGAGAGAAAGAGAAGAATTACGAGTTTCTCAGTAGTAGAAATGATATTTTCGATCATGTTACGAACACGGTGGCTTTGAAAAAGACGGTCCTTGTTGTTTGCTGGTTCATTTTGGAGATCTTTAACGATAAGCCGTTCGAGTCTCTCTACTTCCTCGTGAGAGGCTCGAGTCACCTCTAATAGAGTCGACGACATCTTCAAGGTGGCCTCTGCCTCCGGTTCCGGTGCAACTTATGGTGGACTTCAGTGTGGTTTTGATTAGGGTTTTTTCTGTTGAGAAAGAAGTTGCAGTGGTGAGTTCAGGTCTGGTTTATTTTATTTTTATTCTCACAATAGAAATGTTCGATAACGTCGTCGTTTTCGGGTAATGTTTAGTTTGGAAAGTAAATTGCACTGCATGCCCCCTTGGAGTTTGATATTATTATTGTAAGAGTTATTTTTTAAATAATTATTTATGTTGAAATATATATTAATAACATGTTTCTATTTTTTAAAAATTATTTTTAATATTATTATATTAAAATAATCTAAAACATATAATATATTAAAGTTTAATAAAAAAAATTAAATTTTTTAAAAATATAAATTGAACCGCATTTCTAAACAGTTTTTTATTTGAGTAACTTCCTGCTTTTTAAATAATATAATTTACTTTGTTTAAGTTTTTTTTATACAAATGAGTTTAAATTTTAATTTTATCTTAGCATAATATATATATATATATATATGTATATGTTGCTTGATGAATCCTTTTTTTATTGTAAGATTATTTAACCTATTATTCACCTTAAATGCTTAAAAATGGGCTAAGGTTTATGTACTTGGGATGTAATAATAAAGTAAATTAATGAGAATTGCAACATTATAACTAAACTTTAGATGAAGGCCATTATAATTTAGAAGAATTATAATAATACTCTACATTATTTGGTTGAAGGTTAAAAACTTTTGAATAACCTCTCTAATTTCACAAGTTTTTTAGGGGTTCCCATGTGATTACTCAGACTCAGAGCATAATGCTCGAAATATCCAAAGTAAAGGGACTAGAATGAAATAATGGCCTTTCAGGGAGGACTGTTTAAGCTGCTTAGCCAGCTCATATAAGGAATGCCCTGTGTTGTCTTCTCCCTCAGAGACCCGTTATTCTATCGCGAGAAACTTTAGAATGTTGTTAGAAAGAAGAACAACGATCAAAAGCATTGAAAAGGCTTAATTTTTTGCCGAAAATATAGTAATGTGGAAGCTAAATCAGTTTATACCAGATGATGATGGGGAGAGAGAGGAGAGTTTATTAGAAGAAGAATCAGATGGGATTTGTTCCCTTTCTCCTACGCAGGTTTCTTTTTCTAATTCCACCTCAAATCTTTTTTTTTTCTTGATTAAAAAATTTTCATCTTTTTGATAGTTTAAAGCTTTTATTCTATCTGGGTTTTTGTTTATGCAGAGGCTGTATGCATTTGCTGCTTCTTTGGCCGCTGGTTTGATTCTTATGTTCGTGGTATGTCGACCTTTTGTGCTTAAAGTTCATCTTTTTGTTTCTTTTTGGGTTTTATTAGTGATTGAATTTTAATGGGCTTTTTGAAATGGTAATATGCAGTAAGCTTTTAAAGAGGAAGTTTTGAAAGTAATTAATGGTAGAAATATTATAGTATTTGAAGGAGCTTAAAGATTTTCTTCCTCTGTGTTTTTATTTGTGTCCAGGGTTTTAAATTTCTTCCTTGAACTGAGTGTTTGTCCATAAAACAGTGGAATTGCTTCCGAAGAGTTCATAGAATGTTTAATGTTTTCAGTTCAATATAGAGTTCGGTCTTGTAACTCATGCTCTACTAATTTAATATTGCCAGTTCAGTCTTTTCTGGACTGCGCTAGTCGTTGGAAGTTCCTTAAGCAAGCTAGTTTGAAGTTTGAGATTACAATGGTTTCCAAAATTTTATAGGGTCATTCGTAGTGCCTTTGTTCGCTAATGATTTGGCTTATAGGGAAACTATAGAAGATTGAGATGATTTATTTTGATTGGGAAGGTTAGTAGCTTTTCTGCTTGATCTTTGGCCATTTTATTCGGGTATGTTATCTAATACAACTATACAAGGACTACTGTCATCTCGCAGCATGCCTTTTATTAGACCACTTTACATAATACCAACATGGTACAGCCCATAGCAAGCTTGATATTAAACTTCCTTTTCCCTGCCAAGGCATCTAAGAGGGACAAGTTGTCAGCATCTGCAGATCACTTGGCTTTTGTCATGCTTCCACTACATCTATCACACCTTGTGAGTGGGATGCCTCGAGCACCATTTATATAACTCATATATGAAATCATCACTCCTTTGGGGTGGTGTTAGCATACCTTGGCTTGTTGGTTTATAAGGGGTTAGCTCTGAAATATATACTGAGGAACAGTCCTCTAAGCTTGCCTTGAGAAGAATTTGAGACTTCCTCACATCTTGAAGATGTTTGACAATCGCTGCTTCTGGACTGTCTATAACAGTCTGGAGCCTACAAGCATGGACCATATAAAGAGCCCCTTGCTAACAATTTCAATTTATTTGATTTCTTTCTTTTAAAACTTCCATCTATTTTGCTTATTTCTCAAACAATGCATTACCTGTATATGTTAACCCTCTCTATCATCCATGGAAAAGACACTTAGTAAGCTGTCTTCAAATTAGATCATTAAGCCAATCTATTAAAAGAAGATCACATTTCAAAATCAGCAAAATAAATAGAAGTTTAGATTATATCTTAGAGGTTAATGATGATATGTATTGTACTTTATTAGTGCTATAGTTATATAGTTTGAGGCTGTCAAAAAATGGAAAGAAGTAAATGAATAGGATGTGTATCTAGAGAAATGTTTCTCAGGTTCTTCCCCTTTTGTCAGATTGTTAATATACCTAATTCCATAAGTTAACCTTTTTCCTTTTATATGAGTGTAGAAACTCTATGCGTCTTGCTTACATCTTGCTAAAGAAGCAGCAAGTCCCATTATTAGTAGGAAGCAGTCCCTTTTCTTTCCTGCTTAAGTAGGTAAGTTTAGATTAGTTGAGGGAATATATGGGATTATAGAAAATTGAAAATCTAAGCATGTTCAAGGAATATTTTGAGACCATTTATTGTGACATTTTAAAAGCTGTATTTCTATGGAAGCATTTGGCTATATAAAATGCTGATAGCTTTACAAATTTTGCATGTGTTGCAGTCCTTGATTGTCTTTGCCAAGCCTATCAAATTTGCACTATTGTTCACCTTTGGCAATGTGTTGGCAGTTGGAAGGTACATTGTCATTTTTACTCAATTTAGCAATACGTTTTGAATCTTATATTTTTAATCTCTCCATTTGCTGGTTTGTGCAGGCCAACAAGTTTATATTCTGTCCCATCCCATCCTAATTTATAATATTTCTTTCACTCTGGAGTTTTTTTTCCTTCCACTTGTATTAGAAAACTTACATGCTTTTTCGCTTTTCTTTCATCACATGTAAAACAAAAACACCACTTCTTATTCATCATAACAAAGGAAGGAACTTTTTTCTCCTTTTCTTCGATTCTTGGCATAGCTTCATTTTAATTCTTACTTTTATAAGCACTTTGAATCTTCTGACAAAAACTAGTTTGATCTGATCACTTTTGATCCTGGGAATTTTTGGCACTCCAAGTTTAGTGCAGTATTCTTGTGTATTTGGGAGTTTAGATATCTTAAAGAGTTCCATGATTCCACACAGATAGTATCCCTGAGATCATCTGCAATTCAGTTCAACTGAACTGCTGTTCTTCTCAGGGTTTTTCGCATTCTAAACTTGTTTTGTGAATGGCAGCACAGCCTTCCTCATTGGACCTGAGCGACAGCTAGGTATGATGTTTGACCCTGTCCGCATATATGCAACAGTTATTTACATCGGATGTGTTGTTCTGGCTCTCATTTTTGCTCTCTTGGTAAGTCAACAGTTTCAATTCATTTGGCAAATATAATGGTGTTAGGGCCCCTTAATATCGGAGAAAACTTCGGAAATTAAAGTGCAGTAAATTATGATTGCTTTTCATGGCCCATATGGTTACTATCCTTAGATTGTTTAAATCTTCAACCCCAAACATATTCTCGTAGTATATCAATATTCTGGATCATGCTCATTTCTTTTCACTGCCTTGCAAGTTATCATTTATTTATCATGTGCACCTAACTGTTTTTACCTCAAGTTATTAGATTTGCCACTACAATTCCTTTTGTAAAGATTAAGGTACTTCTTGATTGATAACTCTGATAAATGCATTCCTAATTATCTGGTATTTTGTCATCTTTTCTTCATCTTCTTCTCTCCTTTTCTTTGTTGTCATCGCATTCTTTTCTATCTACCACAGCAGAATTTACACCACATTGGCATTTTGATTCTGAGCTAAGGATGCTAATTTAAATAATGCAGGCTTTATTTATAACTACCTGTCATTGTATCTATTTGCATTGTTAATTGGCAAATGAAGTTATGCTGCCGAGAAACTTTTCTGCCTCAGCAACACTAACTAATGAAGCATAGGACTTTTTTTTACCACTGTCTGTGAATTCCTAAGATATACTGAGGCATTGAAATTTCGAAATTCCTCTGAATTATAGCCGAGTGGTTAAATTTGAAATCATTTTTGCCTCTGTTTGTGCATTTTGATGAGCTTTCATTCCTTGTACTTTCATTCTTGTGCTGTCTTTCAGAAGAACCTCTCTCCCTCTTTCACAAATTCACCAAGATTTCAGTGAAGGTCAATTCTTGAAAAGCTTCTAGTTTGAACAAGGTTATAGGTTAAAATGGCCTTGTCATCACACATTGTGGTCCCCGTGTCCTTACAAAGCTCAAGCTTCCCCTGCTTTTCAAAATAACATTCAAGATTCATTTGGAGAACAAGACGTCTCCAAATAGGAAAGAAAATTAAAATATGTATATATATATATATAAGAGAACTGCAATTGTGATGAATAACTGACATTAAAACACCCCTAAATATGCATTGTTCTTGTTAAAAATGCTATCTGATTGTGGAGCAGATTTAGATCATTTCTATTTATTTCATAATGGCTTACAAACAGGTTTTCTAAACTTCTTTTTTCATGTTGCAGATTCATAGCAAGATTTTAACAGTGTTTGCAATCATATTCGAGATTTGTGCCCTTATCTGGTAAGTTTGTCTCTCATTTTCACCCATTTCATTAGTTTTATGGTAAGGCATGAGGATATAAGATTGGAATTGTACGTTAAAGAATTGCATTATCATATATAGTACAGAAGGATATTCAGGCTATTTGGAATGGAAATTATACAGCATTCTTATTTGTTTTTCATAGAGGGTACATGGTTGCTTCTCAAAATTTTCAGACTAAAGTACATGATTTCCAGCTATTTATCTTATATATCAGGCAACATCTCTGCAATAGCTTCTCTTAGTATAACAATAAGAAGTTCAATTCGGCATTTTAAATGCTTTTCTCGCACCACTTATACGTCTTCTTTAAGCTGTTTCAGGTACGGTCTGAGCTATATTCCTTTTGCTCGGAGAATGGTGTCTAGTTTGATGATCCGATTATGCGACACTGAGTTATAGGCTCATAGCTAATGCAAATTCTAGGAGGGCAATAAAATGAGAGATTCTTGAAACCTAGGCTTATGGCTGCTGTCTTCCTGCTTTTCATCTGAGTTCGTGCAGAAAGAATTTTTTCCACTTGAATTTAGAGCTTGGCTTTTCTGATTGTTAATTTGGCATTATATGGTTAATGGTTTCTTATTTCAATTTCATTTACTTTTACCTCGTCTCCTTTCAACTTTCCTTAGGCTAAAGGAACATGGCCTTGAGCCGAAGAGACCTGGTACATTCGGCTACACTTTTTGCTTTTGCAAAAAATACTATCTGCTTGCAAGTTGTAGATATGCAAAGACAATATGAAGATTGAACTCTTTCCTGATCACTTGCTTAATAGTCAGCCACTTACCCCCTCATGATATGGTTTCATTCGAAACAACTTTTTGTGTTACTCAATCAAGGAAGGGAACTAAGAACGGTTTGCTAGGGATGACAATGCAGCCAGTCTGGTTTTGAATAGAGGCCTCAAGATGATTGGATGGGTAAAAAGTTTTGGGTTGGGTTTGGTTTAAGATGGCCGTGTACTTTAAGAGATGCCATATGAAAACACATGGCCATGGTTTTTGCTGGCACTGTACAGACCCTTAATGTGTTTCTGTTCCATTCTTGATTAGATGAGGATTGCACTCGAAAGAATCTGTTCTGTTGCAGCATATAGAGTCAAGGAGTCAAGATATTTTGTTTCTATTTTTTTTTCCCCTTATAATAATAGAACAGAACCTTAAATTGATCTTATCTATAATATTCAGTTTCAAGGACTTGACAGTTCCTTATCCTACCAAGTATTCCGTTTGGTTAAAATCCTCAGGCGTAACATAACTTTAGGTTTTTAGAACAACCTTTACATGGAGAAAACTGAGAGAGAGAGAGAGAGAAACCTTGCCACGAGATAAGGAATGGGCTGGAGAGAGAGAGAGAAACCTTGGCAAGAGATAAAGAATCCACTATCCAGCCCAGTATGTTGTTCTTAAAGATGCCTCAAAGCTCAAACTGGACCGCTGTCGAAGGTGAAAGGAACTGGGCTTGGAGGAATACAAGATGGGTGGATGCACCTCGATATAAACCACAGAAAGTTACATGCATGCTTTGATTAGATGGGTTCATGCTATAAAGAGAATCGGGTTTTTACTCCTCCATGCAGTGATGCAGATAAGGAATCCAAGAGTTGAATTCAAAGAATATACAGGTGTTTCATAGCTAAAACAAGAAGTGAATTGACAGCCCAGATGGGCCAACTTTGAATACAGCTCAACTACTCCTTTTAGATAATATCCCGGATGGATACCAAGTCCCGGGCCAGCAAATACATCCCTCTAAGAGGTATAAATAGGAAAAATGGATCGGGAATCTCGCATGTCTCGAAGATGGGAAAGAAAAAAGGTGTTTAGTATCACTCCTCTAGCTCATCAGAGTTTGAAAATGATGGACATCTTTCCACATCCATGCTTTGGACACAACCTAATGGTGACCTGTGATGATATAAGCATTGCACCTAAAGCAGCACGTGAGAGATCTGCATTGAACAACCATGGTGGTAGCTACCGACCTACCTCAGAATAGAACGTGCCTTCAAAATACCAAAACTTTATGCCCAAGTAGACAAATCTTTGATCAGTAGTAGCATCTACTTATTGCACCAGAGGCAAGTGATCAGTCCTTTTCTGCATTATATATGGACCTTGTCTATACCCCAAGCATGTCCTGCGTACAAGATTAAAGTCAGTGACATGATTGCTTGTATGGTCTTGCGCCTCTAGATTTTTGAGAACTTGTGGCGCAAAATGCAAATGCCCTCTTTTTATGCTGCTGCTGTCCATGTGAATACTGCCAGTACCACCCTGCTAGTCTTAGAAGCAAATTCAAGACTTTAGGCCTAAAACATAATTGACCCCAAAAGTTGGTAGGTGATTCTTGATGATGTTTTGAATTGTTGCAGCATGGGCAGTTAGGCGTCGACGTGCAATTAAGATGGGTCTTGCCTTTAAAATAGTTTATTTTTTAAAAGAAAATACTTTCGATTTGTCGACGATGTGAAATATTGACATCATCATTTCTAATATACAGCATCATGGTGATGATTTATTCATTGAAATGCTTAATAATACCCAGTTTTTCTTACATCCTCGGAATTAATTCTTACCAGCTGACTTTTTATCTTGCCCTGTGTTAGCCTGTCAAAAAACCCAAAACCATATTCTATAGGTTCACTGAAAAAATCCCAACATCAAAATCACATTTAAAGTCGGTTTTTTATAATGTCTGGTTACTGTTTCCTAACAAAAAACAAAAACAGCTAGATTGTTTTGAAAACATATTTAATTTTTTATTTCTTATGTTTTATTTTTAAACAAAACACACACACACATATATATATATATATAAACAAGAGTAACACTATATATAGTAAGTATAATTTCACTATACAACCCATGATTACATTAAAAAAAAGAAAAAAAAGGAGGAGGAGGAGGTGAGTGATACGAAAATGGGTTGGTGGGAAAGAGTTAGCAGCATGATGTTCACAAGGTTATATCTCTTATGATATTGTTTAGCTCTAAGTTTCAAACCCATTTCCTTCGACATTCGCAGCCACCCACTCCTCATGTAGGGTCCATGAACAGCTACTAATATTTTAGAAACCAACCTCCCACCCATCCTATAAAAATCAAGAAATCACTGTATAAATCTTGTCAATGTTTCTTTATATGTATCAAAGTTGTGTTTGATAGCTGGCATGGTAGACTTATACTATAATTTATCTATATCATTGTTGAAGTTTAATTCATTGAATCGGCAGATAAATTTGAGCGTTGCTATTTTTATTAAAAGATTTAGACAGGGTTTAGCTGCATTTACTAAGTTATTAAAAATTAAGTCAGGTTAATCAAACTTTACTAATTCATCAGTAATTATTTTTATTAGAACGTTTGGATAAGTTTTCGTCGTGTTGACTAAATCATTAAAAATCCAATCATAAATAATTATTTTTATTAAAAGGTTTGAATAGAGTTTGATTGTGTTAAATAAATCATTAAAAATCATGGTGATTCATGAATATCTATTTTTATTAAAAGATTTAGATAAGTTTTAATCGTGTTAACTAAATCATTAAAAATCTAGCCACATCAATCAAATTTTACTAATTCATGGGTATCTATATTTATTGAAAAGTTTGAATAGGGTTTGGTTGCATTAACTAAATTATTAAAAATTCAGATAGGTCAATAAAGCTTTACCGATTCAATATCTTATCTGGTTCAAATAAAAACTCGGTTCAATGAACTCATCAATAGCGCATAATTAACAACTGTGCTTGGAATAACATGACCAAGACCTAGCGAGTCGAATAGTCTAAAAGATGGTTTGATGAAGGCCACAAGAATGTACTTTATGATCATTAGTCATTATTCAAGATGATTGAAAGAAGATCTTCAGAGATAACCTTGGAGTCCCATATGTTTTCCTCACCAAGAAAAAAAAAAAGACACTTTTCATGGCATACCTACAAACATTATTTCATTCCTTTCACACTGACCAGTTAGGGCTAAAAAAAGGTACGAGCTAGCATTCCTCCAACATCTCACCTTTAATTTTAGAGTTTGTTTCTAAATGTAATTATAATTATTTTTTAAATAATTTTTTAAATTAAAATATATGTCAATGATATTTTTTTATTTATTAAAAAATATTTTTAATATCAGTATATCAAAATAATTTAAAAATATTAAAAATATATTAATTTAAAGTTAATAAAAAAATAAAAAAAAAATTAATTTTTTTTAAAAAACACTTTTAAAATTTAAAAACAAACAAGTTAATCTTACACCAAACCCAAGCTTAACTTTTTGTGGGAAAGAAATGTTACATTATGGACCTACCAAGACACACACACCCTTGCAGTCATAGGGCAGAGTGTATGTGTCTCAGTCAAGAAAATCAAGCCTCCTCACTAACAACTTCACCCTCTTAGAGATCATTTGGAATTTTGCCATACTTCCTGCTTCTTACCTAATTATTGAGAAAAATTAGTTTGGTTAGTCGGGTAGTTCTATATTTTATTTTTTACTTGATTTCATCTGTGTTTTAAATTTTGATCATGTCGAAGTTGAAATAACTTGTTTTCATTAATACAGAGTTGTTTTTTATTTATTTTGTATAAAAAAAATTATTTTATAGGAGTTATAACTAAACATATATTTAGAAAATAAATATAATTAAAATTACTTTTTTCAAATCTATTTTTTTAAACTGCAACAATAAAAACTACCATAAACATGTTTTTAGAGTCTATTTATTCCTACGGTAAAAATATATTTTTAAAAAAAATTAAATTTTTTTCTTTAAATTAATCTTTTGGTGTTTGTAAATTATTTTGATGTGTTGTGTTAAAATAATTTTTTAAAAAATATATATTTTTAATATATTTTTAAATAAAAATATTTTAAAAAATAATCAGTATCATAATATTAAATATACTCTTGTACCTCACTTGAAAACCAATAATAAAAACAGCCTATATCCTATGCAAGATCCCAGCATGTGAAATGCAATCCAATCAGTGACCAAAACAGCAAATATGGAGTTGGCTTTGGCTCCTTGCGTGTGCTCGGACCCTTGAATCTGTGAAGGAGTACAAAAAAGAGGACTCCTCGCCTACTGAAACGAATCATAATTTTCTTTAGTGCTTGAGAACTTGACCACCACTTGCCTCCATGTCCATGATGAACAAACATCTTGCTTCCTTTGCAATCAAAAGGAAGCCAAAAGGACTCATTAATCAAATCCATTGACCATTTTATAAGATCTGAGCTTGCATTTTTGCCGACCTAAGTAATGTAATCTAGCTAGCTAGATCATGCACGACTCTGTAGGATCATAGCCACTAACCTCATACGTGAGACATTTTGAACCGACCCTTGTGTCTCTTCTATGCATGGATCTCTCCCTGTCTCTATAAAATAATAAGAATTTAGTGCCAATCTGCCCCGAGAAGCCGCATTTGATTAGTTTCTAATTATTGTTTTCCAATAATTTTTTTTATTTACGTGGAGTATCTGGGTCAGCTTGCGCATATCACGACTAATTCCCACGACTCATTAAATACCCTGCAAATCCAATAGGCATGTAAGACACCGCGAGGATGATAGAGGTGCACGTCAGGACTCGAATCCATGTACAGTGGAAGGAGCTTGGCTCCTGCCACCGCTAGGTCAAGCCCCTCGGTGCAAAAATCATGGCTTGTTTAATCTATGTGTAGATGTAATTCGAAATTGTATGGCTCGATCAAAGATTTAAATTAATTATAAGGAACAATGAAATATA